CGGCGATGAAGGCATATATTCTTACGCATCGTGAAATTGAAACTCGAGATCATCGTTATTGTCAGCCTCTCTTTCCTCGCGGAAAGGACTAAGGCCGGGGAAGTGAACTGTGTCGTCACTTCCGGGCAGCGACGACATATCCTCGAGTGGATGTGGTCGAGTCATCGCCCGCGCCATGATATCTCTTGCTGAGTTATTCCTCTTCGTGGTATCGATGAAGTATATCTCTTGCGATGGCCTCTTAAGTTCCTGAGTGAGGGTGTCGTGAGATTGCTCGAGGAGGTAGAATTCGACATCTCTCCCGGTATGCTCAAGCCAGGGTTTGAAGTTCAGCTGCTTGACCCTGCCATTTACCACCTGCTTCTTGGTCTTCTTGTAGTCATCCCGATCTTCTGCATCTGGTCCTTGACTTGAGAAATGTGCATCCGCAATTCCTTGCGTGTTCTTTCCTTGGTCTGCATGTCTTGGAGCCGTTCGTTTTCGCGGACAATATCATCCATGCTCGAGCTTGTGACAAACTCGCCACTCGGCCTCCTCGAATCCCGACATGATGTTATGCCTCGTGAAGCCAGCCTCATAGACTTGTTGAAATGCAGCGAGGCATTCGACCCGTGAAAAGGTTAGGTTGCCCTCTGCAAGGAATTTGCGAAGTGCTTTCTGGTGGGCTGCCGTCAGTGGCTGGAACACACCAACGTCAAGCGGTTGCATGAGATGGGTGGAATGCGGCGGCAAGATGGCGATGATGATGTCAAACTTGATACAGTACTCGGCAAAGGCAAGAGTGGTATGCCCAGTGAAGCCATCCACAACCAATAATCTATATATCTTCTCCTCATCAGGACGATCAACTGGAGGCCTCTCCACGCGACTCATGCCTCGGTCCGGGAGCCGGAGATGCTCGTCACATCCAAACCACTGTTCGAGAGACTTTCCAGACTGCTTTGCCTGTGCTGACGATGCCCAAGACCAGCGATTGAAATGTCTTGCCCACTCAAGGTGTATCTCAGCATTAGAGAAACCAGTGGGTGACTGAGCAAATCGCACACCCGTGCCAATGTCAATGCCAGCCCAATTGTCCCGATGTCAATGCCAGCCCAATTCGTCGTCGGGTAATGAGCGAAAACGAGCCATGGAGGAAGAGAGTCGCCCATTGCATTTATCGAGGCAATTACTGTGCAGGATTCCCGATTGGCTGGGTCTAGAACTTCCGGCCGGGGAGCTTTATGCCTGGAGGTGCGAGTGACAAGGACTTGGACGCGTTCCCGCAAGCAACCGATGCGCATTCCGGCCTCGTCTTCATTCCACATCTCTGAGGCGCCGATACGGAACTTCAATATAGTTGCCTGGAGTTGAGAATAGAACAGTTCGACGTCTTCAAGTCCCTGGGCTTCGAAGGCTTTCCGTGATCGCTCCACGGCCT